AAACTAGAAAGATTGGGAGATACAGATATAGAAGGAGAGTGAGAGAGAATTTGATAAGAGGAAGGAGGAGGGGGGAGAGAAAGGTGAAATAGTAAGAGACATAAGGAATGAGGCATATATTGAGGGGTGAGAGAGATAAAGAGAGTAAGAGATAATGGGGATAGAGAGAATAATGTGAAATGAGAGAAAAAAAAGAGAGAGAGTATGGAGAGAAGGTAGAATGAAGGAGGAGGGAGAGAAAAGTGAGAGGGACAGTCACTCTCTTTGACTGTTAGAGAGGAGAGAGGGAGAGTGAGAGAGAGACAACAGGAGAGTGGGGAGGGAGATATAGATGGGAGTGTTAAGGAGGTAGGGAGAGAAAGATATCTTCATATTTTTTTAGTGTTCTCTTAATCATTCTCTTTATCGTGGACGACATGGGATCCACCTCGTCATTTCAAACTCCCGAGGGGTTTCTTTGACTGTCTTTTGCAAAGTTATAACAACAACCACACCAGATGGTGATTCTGCCTTTTCCACGCACCCATTTCTTTGATTCAGAATATGTCTTCTTCTTTAATAACCTAGCTCGACCTTTGTCCCTTAGATCGAATACACAGTCAAAGATCCTCTTCTCGTCCTTTTCTGAAAATACTCCGGTGAGTAACTCGAGTCCTTCCAAGATATTAACAAATTTTTTTTTAATTTCCTCATAATACTCAAATTACTCTTTCCATACCCAACTTATCTTTTCCAACTTAGACCTGAGAATCTCCTGCAAGTTTCAAGGCTGCTCCTCTGATTCAGCTTCTGAAGCAATCTATGGCTATCGTGGCTCTGCAAACCATGGAATGTACAACTCTATGTCGGGATGCTCTGCATTTTGAACATCATGGAGGCAGTTGTATATTCTTCAAACATCCCATAATGCTCCAGGTGGAGAACATTACATTATGGGCACTCCATGAAGGCCTACTGACGACGTCTGTCTCTGAATATTTGCATTGCATGTTGAGCATCCTATGCAAAGCTCATTGTGGATCTCCGGTGGTGTAGACTCTATGACAAACTCCAGCTCATCCTCTATAATGGGGGGACGGGTGGAAGTCTCTCTCAGAGTCAGGTCATAAACTTCTTCCTCATGAATAAGCGTGAGCTTTATGGCTGCTTCCCTGGCATGTCCTCTTTTTATTTGCTCCAAAGCTTGGTATTTACAGTGGTTGGCATTTCTACGCTGTGTTTGTCTCAACAGTGCATTTGGGACTCTCTCTGTAGTAGCACCGACTAAGTCTCCTGTCGGCTTCATAATCATGGACTGTAAGTGGCCAACCCTTTCCATCGAGCATTGTGTATCTGGAACTTTTTTTTCCTTCTTCCTTTTTAGCGATGAGTCTTCCTTGGCACTCATTTTTAGTAATAAATGTAGCACTTTTGTTTTTCAACTGCTAACTATATCATTATGGGGCCTTCGTAGTCCATGTTGACTTGGTCATAATCCAAGTCAAAATTTATGATGTCACCCTAGGTTACCTTTTCTTCGTCAAGTGTGAGATTCAAGCCGTCATTAAAAAAGAAGATCAACCTCTGTCCCAACATTTTTTTTGTAGAAGACAGGAAAACATCAACTCGCTAAAATTCAAAACAAACAAGTAAAATAAAAATTCATTAATAAGTGGATTTTAAGTTACACGTATGTAAGCATTTTATTTAATTCTTAGACATCGCAAAGTTGAATTAAATAAAATGCTTACATACGTGTAACTTAAAATCTACTTATTAATGAATTTTTATTGTTCTTGTTCACTTTGAATTTCAGCGCACTGATGTTTTCCTGTCTTCTGCAGAAAAATGTTGGGATAGAGGTTGATCTTCTCCTTTAATGACGGCTTGAATCTCGCACTTGAAGAAGAGCTCTTCTCATGATGTGATATGTTGCTGACTTGTTATCTGGTAGCTTTCTCGTTTGCAAATATTTTATCAATGACTTGCGCCAATCTTCGACATTGTTAGCAGCTGTAGCTACCTTTTCTTTTCCAAGCTTGTGCAGATTGTCGAGGTCGATCTGCGACAGAACTTGACGTCCCTGCACTGCAATATGAATGAATTCTTCCAGTGAACACACCAATTCATTAGCAAGCTTGGCTAAAGCGTCGGCATGGACGTTATCTCCCCGAGGAATCCTATACAATGTCACACTGGGAATCTGTTCCAAGAACTTCATCGTGTTCATCGTGTACTAATGATAATGATATTCTGCTAATCTTGGCTTCAGAATCTTGTACTATCCGACAACTTGCTGAATAACGAGTTGTGAGTCGCCATAGATGGTAACATTCGCTATGTCCATTGATATTGTCAACTTCAATCTGGTGATCAAAGATTCATATTTTGCTTCATTGTTAGTACACGGCTCCGTCAGGTGGTAAGAAAACCTCAACATTCTCTGATCCGGTGTAACAAAAATTAAACCAATCTCTGCTTTGCTTAGTATAATTGTCTATGATTCTTTATCTCTTCTAGTTGACAAAGCCCCATCAAATTACATTTCCCGACATCTGGCACCGTACGGTTCCACTTGTAGTATCTGTTCATTTGGCAGGTTATCATTGAGAGGGGACCCAACTGGTAGTGGATGCGCTACGAGAAAATCCGCCAAAATCAGGTCATCAAATGTTGCAACATATAAAATTCAAAATGAGGATAACCTTATGAGAAAGCATGTAATGTCTGTGCTTTTGGGCTGCAAAAATCAATGCTAGTATATGCCCTTTTGTGGAGGGTGTCTACAAATTTATAGTTGAACCTCTTCTTTCCTTTCTTTCGTGAGGCAACTCCATCATCTGTGTGGCGAGAGTAAGTCCAACCTCTTGAGCTCCAACTTATAGGTTGCAGGAATAGACTTTCCTTCTCTTAACCTTGGGGCTACCGAGTTCTTTATGGATGACGCAATACACAGATTGTTGTCTGGACGTATTAGGTCGACTGCCTTCATGACTGGGTAGACTTAGGATCCAAGTAGCTTGAGATGACAGGCCTATGGTACCCTGACCAGGATACCTCTATTCTTTAGGATTACTCTACCCTTCATATTGTTAAGCCTCTTTAAGCCCTATCGCTCCTTCGACTTCATCGATACCATCTTGATGGCCTGATTACTGAAGAGCTACAACCCTTTCGGGATATAGTGATTCACCCTCTACCCTTGTGGCCCAATGAGATCTAACGTATAGGGATATCCCCCATCAAGATGATTCTAGTTATTTCGTAGGCTCAGTATGCCTATGAGCCACTACTCATTTGGATGTGAGAGAGTCACTCACTGCACGGTGGCTTAGCGAGACCTATGAAGCATCAGTGCATCCCAAAATGAAATAACCATCCTTTGATGACTTATTTCTCTAGTTCCATGATAATAAATATGAAACCCCTTCTATTGAGAGTATTCCTGGGCATCCCCCTGGATGTAATTAACCAAAGGGATACATTCCTCTAGGAGACTCTTGACATCATAACAAATGACAAATGTTTTTTTTTTTTTGGTTCTCTGATTACAGGTGACTTATGTAAGGATTCTCTTTGTAAATATTGTATTTTGAGATACTACAATCTGAACTTATTTGGATGTGTACTCTTCACCCATCACACGAGGATTACCCATATATAAGCATTCCATTTGTTCCTTTTTTTATTATTTGTCTATTTGTTGTCGTATATCCCTTTACATTTAATTCTTCTCCTCTTTGAATCATTTATATGATTTGGGAGGGACATTTATTCGAATAAGATGATAATATGATAACATATAAATAAACAAATTGGCAACTCCGAGTTTAAAAAAAAAATCGAGAAAAACATTCACGTTTAATTGTGGCATGGTCACACTACCCAACTGAACATGATGGCTTGGTCAAGCCATGCTGAGGCACTTTTCTACTAGAGTTTCTCATTCTATTTCATTTGCATTTCTTGCACAACATGAGCAAAATACCTCTCTCAAGCAAAAAAAAAAAAGTGACAAATAAATGAATTTACGATGTGAAATGTAGGGA